CCTGTCCCATTTTTTCAATGTTTTGATTAATTATTCATCCATTCTGCACCATGACACTGCCTACATAGGTCTTTATGGCATAAAAGTACTGTGAGCAAGTACATTTTCACAGTCTGCAGAATAGAGTAAGACATGTTACAACTCTTGTCTAAGCTGGGCTAAGAAATTGTGCTCTCCAAAACCTAACACAGTTTCTGTTTTAAAGAACAGAAATCTGTTTTGACTTCATGCTATTCAGCTGATGCACTGATTATGGTCTGTTAACTAGTTGAAGTGCCCTGTGTTTTCAGATGTGTAGTAAAATATTTTCTGTAGCACTATAAGTAAGATCTGTTAATCCATTGTTTCTGAAAAACCAGAAAGAATTATCTTTTTTTCCTTATTCTAAGATTTAAACTGGTAATCTGACTGTTTCTAGAAGGAAGGGTGTATTAAAATGAAGAATTTTCTAGACTGTGTGTGTAGTTGTGTAGCAGTAAAGTTAACAGGAAAATAGAACAGGAAGAAGATAACATTCTTTCTCAACAGTAGCTAATGTGTGTGACAGGAGGCTAATGTTTCAGTCAATTTTTGGCATGAGATCATTTTTAAATAGATTACCAAGCATAGTTACTGAGGGACAGTAATGTCTCAGTTGCCATGCAACTATGTACATTGCAGGAGAAAAGAACAGATGTTCGTCCTCTTATGCAAAAAATATAGTTAATGAAGAACATGTTTCATGAGAAAAATGTTGAAACATATGTCATTACTAATGAAGGCATAAATGACTATACCATGGCCTTTTTTTGTCACTTGTATTTAAGTTAAAATGTTAAACAAAACATAACACAGTTATGTGTTACAATATGTAATTGTACAGTACAGTATGTGTTACAATACCTAAAAGGTTATCCAGTTCATGAAACAGAAAAGCAACAAAAATATAAACTTTCCATTCAGAAAGTGTACTCCTATATTGTTGATATTTCATATTATGAGATATTACAGAAGTTGAAGTTTGCTATGGACCTGTAAGAATACGAAATTGGTGAGTTGAACCTGGCTGGTCAATGCCTTGTGTTCATCCAGAAATAAATTGTCAGACTAAAAAAGTCTGTAAAGCAATGTATCACTGTGCCATTGCCAGCAGTTTTCATGTGTGATGGCATCTTTTTCTGGTTTGTACTTCAATATGAACTTCATTTTGTGGGCCCCAAACAATTGAAGATATTTAATATTTGATTTTTAGTAGGAATATGCTATGCTAGAATGTAATTTCCTAATTTTAGGTCCAGGAAAGTTTACCAGGATCAATCTCTTCAAGTGAGTTAATACCTTAACAGACACCATTTTGCAATGCAAAGGTGTGGCAGATGAGTTTCTTTTGCTAGTTTTGGAGTCACATGCAATATACTTTAGGTATACTGCAATATATTCAAAAAATAAAAAGCTCTGCGAAGGATGAGCATTTCACAGATAGACTCTGTTGTGAAGCAGAGAGAAGATGAATTCAGGACTGGGTTTTTTTCTTTGTCTTTTTTAAAAAGACATCAACCTTTTAACACCACATTCAAAGCCTACTATTCATCTCACCTAAAATTTTGACAACTATTCTAAAATTTAATAATGAGTTATTGAAATGCCTAAATCTTCCTTTAGGTGAGAAGAAATGGTAACTTCAGACAGAGAATTTTTCTACTTATCCTGAACATCAAATGTCTCTGAGAAATAGTTTTCTTGGCTGCAAAAGGGCTTTTTACATAGCTAGTTTCAAATGGATTCCTAAACTTCGGATAGTTGGAACAGGTAAAATCTATTTTGAGTTTTGCTATTTTCACAGTTCTAACTGTTGTTTATGTAGATATGTGTTAGAAACCATGTGGGACAGCTCAAAATTTTGTTTGAAGATAGATAAATAAAAGCACAGTTCACATGTCCAGGGAACAGAATATGACTCTTACTTGAGAATTGCTTATATTTCATCCAACTGCCTCTTTGGAAAAAATGTATTATTTCTTTTTTTGCAGAAAAAAAGTACAAAGAAATATGAAGATATGAATGTTTATGATCTGAAAGATTTTCTTAGGGTCTGGCTATGGTTAAAGTACATATGTCTTAAATCACTTTTTTTACTTGCCATTCTTTCTGTGAGATTTATGTGAATCTTTTGTTATGCGTGCTTCACTGGTTGCACCTTTGGCAGAGCCATGTGTCAGTAGGGAGGAATGTATAATTAAAAAAAGTGCTCTTAAATGTTTTTCATACATGAAAGTTGAATATGGCTGAAAAAGTTGGTCTTTTCTTGGACCCTTGGTAACTAGTCTTTTTTTTCTGTAATGGTATATCTGAGATTTTTCTTCCACAGTTTAGATAAATAAATAGTTTAGCCTTACCAAAGTATTATTAATAAAATTAGCTTCACAGTATATCTTTCAAATGTGTTTGGGGTTCTTGTTTGTTTAGAAAGACATTAGTTTTAACATCTTCCTTTTTTTAAGGAAGTGACGTGACATTTTGTACAACAATTTTAATATCAGTCATTATTCTTAGAGATTATATGAAAGAATGAAATGTCAGGGTTTTTATTTAAAGAGTTAATAATTTGAAAAGTATAAATCTTACAGACATTTATGATCTAGAACTGTTTTAGAATCTGGTTGTTAAATCTTCAATCTGTAACTTTATTTTCAAGGTTGATTGCCTTTCATATACCACACATATTTTTGCCAGTACACTTTATTTTTAATCCTCGAACTTTATTTTCCTTCCAGAGGAAAATATTTAAGGTGTGTTAAAAGTTAATTGAACTAGGGGATTTTTAGGATATAGGATTTATGAAAACATCGAATTTTTTTCCCTACATTTTCTTGTGTTGCTGGCTTTTATATATCTCAGGGATAGCATCACTCTCTTTGACTTCTAGTCAGTGAAAGACCCTTGCAGTTTCTCAGCATCCACTGAAAAAGTCAGAATATATCTGGATATGTTTAATTACTTTATATAAACACAAGGCTTTAATTAAGTTAAAAGCTAAAATAAAAGCACTTTTAAAAACATCTGATTTTCTTTTCTTTTAAAAAATAAAGATTATGTTTAAAGCAGAACGCAGGTTATGCTTAAAGCAGTATTTTTTTCTTTGTTAACTGTAGTTTAACATGAATATTTATTCATGTTAACAAAGAGATGTAAGAAGGTCCCTACAACAGAATTGCAGATAATAGAACATAATTATATGTTTATGTAGTTGATTATAATGTTGCTTCTATCAAGCTACACAGAACGGGAAAAAAAAGACTTGTTACATGCCATACCTGATGAACATGACTGTCTCACTGTATTTATTAGAGAGAAATGCAACTGTACTGAGTAACTTTGCATGTGTAAAAATTGTGTTGAAAAAACAGAATAATGTATTGTAACAACAAACTCCAAGGGAAAAAGAAAATCTTTCTCCTCTAAGTAGTAATCTGGAAATATTCCACAATGATTGGACATCTTGGTGAAAGATTTAATTGGCTTGGATTTTATATCTTTCACAAAATAGAGTGGAAATTGTAGCATGGCTTTGCATAATGTTTTAATGTATGTCAAATATGCTACAGAAATCATGCTTATATTTTTGTATGACATTCAGTATCAGATTTTGTCATCGCTGAAGGTAGGGCAGTCTGCTAGGAGTATACCAGAATAAGTATGTGATAGCTCTGGAAGAGTAGTCAATCTGAAATATCTTCTGAGTTCTTCTTTGTAATCACAAGACCACCTGGGTGCCCCTATCAAAGGCTGACAGGTATCCTTGATTCAACAAGTTTCATATATTTTATTCTGTCTATATCTTGAAACTAATTTGTTATGTGTGTGAAAACATAAGTGTGAGAGAATCAAGGAATGTAAATATTCAGTATTTAATTTAAGAGGAAACAGCTGCAGGGTCGATTACTTTCAGAGAAATGCCATCAGAAATGACTAAATATTTTTGAAATAAATCATCAAAAGTAATACATTAGTATTCATGTGGTTTCTGAACAAGTAAATATTAGCCAGTAGTGACTGAAGTAAACAAGTTGCATTACCCAACTAATTTTTGTAACAATATTAAAATTTTGTCATTAAAATCATGTCTCATGTTTATTCCTGGTGAAACAACTTAGTCTATTCATGCATCATACATAATTAATTTGAAAATGAAAAATATTTTTATACATTAATTGTATAAAGAAATTTTTAATAATACTGCAGAACTTTTCATGTTCTATTAGACATAGTAAAATATTAATACTATGCTAGATAGGGTTATAATCATGACTTTATTAAATAAATATGATATCTTATTAGAAATTGCTTTCATTTACCCTTGGGGTTGCAGTTTCTTATTTGTCTTTTATAATAAGAGGGCATGGCATAACAGATCATCTAAGAACTCTGTGTTGTTGCAGAACTGCCAAATAAAAAGTAATCTAAGGTACCAGCAATAAAAGAATAAGGATTTATTACCTTATTCCAACACTGTGATACTTTACGGCAGTATAATATGTAACATTTCCTTTCCACTTAAGAATATACCAATTAGTATACCCTTAATCCAGAGAAAACAAATTTAAAACTCTGACAGATTTCTAATGTTAATTTTCTTAGTAAAAAATGTTAGAGGGACAATTGTCTTATGCTTCCCATTTAACATTTTTCTTATGTTTTGGAATTTGAGAATTTGTGGTCGACATAAAGAAAGAATTAAACAAAAGAATCTGAGACTGACTTAATTAACATTTTTCTATTACAAAGCAACTTCCCTCGGTCAGATGAGGTAGAAGAAGGTTGATATCCATTCTCATAGTTTTCTGCATGACAGAAGTCAAGTTACATTTGTAGATAAGTCAAAATGATGACCCATTGAATGTCAATATCAACCCGATGACAGAACTTCCAGCAATGTCTTCATACAACTTTTCTGTGGTTCAGCTGTACTTGCCACTGTCAGTAACCTTTAATTATTCTTTATCTTACAGAACCATGTAGAAGTTCTACTTCAATACCAAGCCTCCCTCTGCCAACACATAGGAATCAATAACACTTGCCTCACAAAGTAAACTTTCAGAGGAAAGGAAACGGTAGAAAAAAAATGAAAAATCAGTGACCCTGAAGTCATATCATTACATCCTGGAATAGTACATTTTGCTGCTACATAAAAAACTATTTTTAATATTTTAATCCATGAAAAACAATAGCTATTAGAAATGCCTATAAATTAGTTAAAGATTAGTTAGACTATTAAAGGCTAGTTAGGCTGTCAGAATTCCTTTGAATTACAATTTATAAGAAGTGTGTGTCAGATATGGTTTGGCATCTGATTTGCCCATAGTATACCAGAAGGTAAAGCTGATCAGGGTGTGTAACTTTGAGACAAGTAATTTTTAATTTCCTAGTGCAAATGGAAAAATATCTTCTATTAAAATAGATTTTTCAGTCTTGTGCTATTAAGTTCAGTATTTGTGTCATGAAATGCATTCTTGGTTAAAATATGAAATAGGAAAATCATGTTTCTGAGGAAAGAAATGTCTTACTCATGGTATACTACATTTCTCTTTTCCACATGACTCTGCATTTGTAAACTGAATTTATGAACTTGCATCAATGTAGGCTGAATAGGTACTGATATTTACAGTACTCTAAAAATTCCACTTCAGCAGTTGAGTCATGAATCTTTCACATTTTGTATAAGTTAGTCATCAGTGTCTCAATTTCTTGATTGATGGTTCAATATTCTATTATATGTTATATTAAGCTTATAAATGTGATCTTAGATCACTGTGTACAGATCATAATATAAGTTCTTCAATTTTGATTACAGCAGGCAGAAAATGCTACATAAATCATTTCAAATCCTGTAAATCAAATTATATTTTCCCTTTTGAACTGTAAACAAAAATCCATCACCATAAAAACCTCAAGTCTTTTAGTTACACTGGTATAAACTGGACTATGTCCAATAACTATAGACTTTACATATAGCAGCATCAGCTTATAAATTTAGCACATCCTAGTTTTTAGAAGAAAGCAAAAAAAATATATATTTATACAGAGAAAGCAATACTTGGAGAAAAAAAAGTGTGGTTTCTTTGGGGTAGGACAGAGACGGTCTCAAATGTGGGACCTTGACTTGTTTTTTTGCATTTAGAGTAGGGGTCCACACTGACTATTCTCAATCAACTTCTTGTTATTCTTATCATTGTATGTGGTTTCCAAGAAAATTTGATGTATTACTTTCCCCAGGACTAAGGTCAGGACAACTACACATAGTTGCCCAGATTCTTCTTGATTTTCTTGAAGATGGGCATAATTCATTCTTCCCAGTCCTGAGGAAACTTTCCTTTTGAACAAGACTTCACAATGGTATCACCCAGCACTTTTAACCACGTCGGGTACAAAACAGTGGATCTCATGGGCTTGTAGGTGTTCAGCCTTGAGGCTGAGGCCTGGGAGCCTGAGGGGGGGTTTTACACTAAAGAGAGAGAGGAAGAACCTAGAAAGAACCTGTTCTATTTCTGTGGCCTTTGTCATAAAGTTATCTACCTGTAGGAACATATTTTTACAGTCTATCTTTGGCTTGGCAAAGTGATGATAGAGACCCTTCTTGCCAATCACCTCCACTGCCAAATTCAACTACAGTTAAGCTCTACCTTTGTTATTCCTTCTCTTCATGCTTGGGTGATGTTTCTATATTCTTGGAAGAGCCATCTTAGTTTGGGTACAGCTTTCGTAAGAACTTTCCATTTGTAAAAAACCCCAATAAATTTTATAATTACTTTAATAACTCTTCTATTACAAAATGTTGCAAACTGATGATTATTGTTGATGCAATGAATCAAAACCAAGGATCTCCTAACTGAGTCATCTGATCTTGGAGACTTTGCATGTATAATGAGATCTGTGCTTTGTTGATAAAAGATAGATGTGTAAAATCTATCATAAATATTTTGTTCACATGTGTTTCCCTTCATCATGTCACAAAGATTTTACAGTTTCAAGCGGATTTAAGCAACATACATAATTCACGAAATACATGAGCTGAATAGTTGGTATACAAGTAAGATTTAAAAATTGGTTACCAGTAAAGTTTGAGTGTATAAATAGAGATTGTATGTTTAGAATACCAGTATTTGGCTCGTTTCAGCAAATCTTGCACAGAGCAATGATTTCACCCTTGTTTCTGTCAGTGGACCTGATTCTACATTCATTAGTGGCATTTAATACCCTACTTTGTATGTAGCCTCTTGTGAAATTAAATCTGTGTAATTATTCAGTGTAAGTAAAGGTAATGAATTTGAGCCCAGTGGGATAGTCTCAAGAGACAACCTATAATTTGTTGACGTATTGACACTGTTATTGTTTGCTTACTTCCATCTGTTTCTCGGTTCAACAAAAACTCTCTTTATGAAGCTTTTACATGTTTCACTCTGCTAAATTCATGAAAATCAGATTCAAAACATGGCTGAATCAAACAATAGAAATGACAACAAATGATAAAAGAAGAATGAAGGCAGTGTTTCCACTACAGGCAGTTGATGGTTAGTAAATATCTACGGTATTTTCAACAGTAACCACAGAACTTGTGCTCATGACTTTAGATTCTCTACAGACTCAAAATGGAATCCGTTTTTTGCTGATACTCATATTTCTGGATGTGCTGGTTTTGCCTGGGGTACAGTTAATTTCCTTCATAGTAGCTAGTATGGGGCCATGTTTTGTATTTGTGCTGGAAATAGCATTGATAACACAAGATGTTTTCTTTATTGATGAGCAGTGATTACACAGCATCAAGGCCTTTTCTGCTCCTCATAATGCCATGACAGTAAGGAGGTTGAGGGTGCACAAGCTGTTGAGAGGGGCCACAGCCAGGACAGCTGACCTAAACTGACCAAATATACCATGCAACATCATGCTCTGCTTATAAATCCCAGGGAATAAAAAGGAAGAGGAGGACATTTGGAGTGATGGCATTTGTCTTCCCAAATCACTGTTATGTATGATGGAGCCCTGCTTTCCTAGGGATGACTGAACACCTACCTGACCATGGAAAGTGAATTCTTCGCTTTACTTTCCATGTGTACATGGCTTTCGCTTTACCTATTAATCTGTTTTTGTCTCAACCCATGAATGTTTTTATTTTTCTGATTTTCTCACCCATCCCATCAGGAAAGGTGAGTGATTGGCTGCGTGGTGCTTACTTACCAGCTGGGATTAAACCACAATACTGGTACTGTTCTCAACTAGTTATCATATAATGAAGTTTGAAACTGTCAGACAAGTTTATATTGGATATTCATAAGGATACCTTAAAACTGTGTATTGCAAGAATGAAACCCACTTCGCCTCTGTTCTTTTAAAAGACTACAAATAATTTAATGAAGGGTCAGAAAAGATACATTGTTCAACAGGAATACTTTAAAATTAAGTGGAAGAAATTCACACATTTTAGGTCATGAAATACCAAACTGATGTAACTTAAGCCCGGTCTGTACTTCTCTAAACAGAAGAACACACTCACCTCCACAGTTTGATATACATAGCCAGCAGTCTGTAATTAAATAAACTGCAAGTTCAGAAAAGGAAGACAATGTACATATTTATAATACATAAAGTTAACATGTATTATCAAGAACTGTAATACATGCTTTATTTCAACTGTTGAAGCCTGCAGGAGGATATGTGAGCTTGAAAAATACAGTTGGTGGTGGGAAGAATTGCAGTGTAGATTGTCACACTTGTTGCTTTTGTCTCAACCATTTTGATACTAGCCGTGATGAGTGTATTCTGAATTCCCCATATAGCATATAATCCTTCTGTATAATTGCTTTTCCTTTTGCAGGCTCATAACTTGTTTGGGTGTTAGGTGGGAGCAAGGGGGAAGAGATGGTAGAGGAGGAAGAAAACTGGTACTGATGGTATTCTTATCATTATCTGTATGCAACCTTTCCTGTACCGTTGGTAGTGCTCTACAGTTCAGCAAACCTACTCATTAAGATTGCATCTAAAAAACTGTATTGTGAAAACAGACTGAGGTCTGTGTATTGGTAATATAGAAACTGCATATTTAGTAAGACAATAATTATATAACTCACCAAGGTTGGTTGACAAGTATAATTTAATATAAATTTTTACGTATACTTTATAGTTATACTCTGAACTTTAAAAAACTATTTATTTAATATGGACTGTACCTCTTTTGTTTATAAAAATGCATATAAATTTTTAATTAAATATAAATGAAATACCTTTAAATAGTGCTTACTCTGCTTTTGTAATGTTTTTTATCAGTGAAATTTTTTTTCAACTCTATAAACATTATAAGAAATAGCAGAAGAGTATAAGATATGCATTTTATGAGATTTCTACAACACAAAATATCAGGAAGAAAAGCTATACACTTTTGAGCGAGGTTAGGTTAGGTCTGTCATTCAATTACGAGTTCAGAAAGCAGTGAACAAGAAAAGGTCAAAAAAATACCTCAGAAAAAAATAATTATTTGCTCTAAACGGTGCATTGGCTTTTGTAGTTACAGCTGTTTTAAGAATGTCACTTGTCCTTCTGCAAAAGATGCCTTTGGAGCCAGATAAACTTATTGCCACACTACCAGACCTCTGAAATCTCTTATTCTAGTTGTAAACTCATACATTTCATCCCTCCCTGGAGGTGTCTTCCCAGCACTTGATTTATCTCCCTCAGCTTTATTTCTGTCAGGAATCACAGCTGGAAGACCTGTTGGCCACAGCAAATTCGTCTACTGCTAGCACTGCAGTTAGATGGAGATAGTGTGAGGTCCTGGGGAAGAAGGTTTTCTCCCTGGTGACATTTAAGGTGGTGGGGACACAGTCCTGGGAAGAATTCCAGATAATGTACTTTTGCACAATGTAACAGGTGTGCTAAAACTTTCCATAATGTCACAGCCTTATTCCTGGATAATGTTCATACCTCTTTTCATACTTATTATAAATTGAAAAAATACTTTATAAAGATGCTTTATTGCCGCTCTGTCTCCAGCATGTGACTATTCGGAGAAAAAATACAGCAGTTCTCATTTTATAGAATGCAGCACTTCAAAACTAATTGTCTTCATTATTGCCAAGCAAGCCAAGAAAATATTTTAACTAAGGAAAATAAACTGTTATGCTACCTTCAAAATCCTGTGTTTAAATTTTTATTCCCTGTGAGATTTTTTATAATATGTTTTAATACATCTCCAAATTATGACATGCGAGATAATTTAATTTAAAATTCTAAATACTTACTCCTAGCTGTGATGCCCAAAAAGGGGTCCAGTATGATATCTGAAGTATATAAACCAAATTGATTACTAACATGCTGCAATTACGTGAAATTTATGCTTTCAAGACAATTTCACATGAAGGTAATGATATATTAGAGATAACTACAAAACAATAGCAATAATACATAAACAGTTATGCAACACTTCAGAAATAAAACAAGATGTGGGAGAACATCGATATAATACTTTTGCAATAGTTCTCAAGTGTGTTTCAGACAACACACTATATTCTACTCACTTCTGTTCATCTTTCCATGGGTTATGCAATATAAATTTAAGAAAGGATAAAAACATATTTATTGACCTTGACAGAAAGGATTTGATTTCTTATCTGGAGTCATTTTTTCAGTAGTCTTTACAGGATACATTTATGTTTCATTTTTTCCCCTGGGGGGAATAAAAACATTAAAGTTTACTTTCACGTATAATATTCCCTTCTTCTTTTGTTTCTAAAAGTTCATTTTCATACTGAAGTAGAGCTTCCAGTAGATAAGCACTGATTTTTTTGTATTTTTTCTAAGGAAAAATAACTGTCCACAAAATTGATTACTTTAAAAAATTCCTAATTTCTTACTGTTAAAATATTTTTTTCTTTTATTTGTAATTCTTTCCTCATTTGGGAGTGAAAGAGGGGTTATGAGGTAGATATTCTACTCAGGTTAGCTTTAACCGTCTTCTTGTACTGCTTGTTTGCTTTAAGAAATACCATTCAAGGTGTCATATATCCCTGTTGTTTTTGTCAGATAGAAATCTCTGTTTGAACAAAATTTCTGAGGCATATCACAGGAATCCCACTTCGAAGAGTGAGTCATGAGGACCTGAACTGAACTGTAAAAGGAAATAAGTATTACCTGGTGTTCCTAATGAACACTATGATCTGAAATAAATATGTTAATTTTGGATAGGTTAAAATACAGAGATTCTAAATAATATCTCTTTGAAAATAGGCTTAATAGAAGCAATACTTTCTGTAGAAGTCTTCTGGGAAACCTCTTACTTTGTTCTAATTATCATATGTAGTTACCTTAGTGGTTGTTCTGAAACTATATATTTCAAAATAATAAAAATAAAAGACCTCTGATTACACAGTGCATCAAAAGCAGTGCTTTAGATAGTATTTAATTTAGTAATATCCAGATATTTCACATAAAGGTAAGAGATATTTTTTTTCCTTTTTAGTCTGGAAACAAAGAGATTCTGGCATTTTATTGTTCTGAGAAGGAAAGAGTGCAAAAATATTAAAGTTTTATATTCGGACAGGTAGTAGACTATCATACAAATGTTTCAGCATGCTGCAAGAATTGTTGCATTAATTTCTGCAACATTATATTTGTCTTAATTTCCCTCATAATATCCTGAAAGCATAAGCATGGTTTATTAAGCTCCATCTGCCATTCTTGTCCTTATTATTTCAGAAAGATGGTCTCAGCACACTTTTCTGGATTGTCATGACATTGCACACTGAAATGTCAATTCCTGCCTGAAACCATAAAGAAAACCCAAATCTGTGGGCAGCTTGTGAGAGTTGACAATCTCACCATTTCATGTTTATGAAGGAGAGAGGTAATTTGTTGTTTTGGCTTTGTTTCATTTGTTTGTTTGTTTTTAATTGAAATGAAAATCCACATTGTGACTATTCTGTTCACACTAGCTTCATAACTGGGTTGTACAGTGCTGGATGGGTAGCATGGATCTTTCTTTTCAAGTACTTGCTGAGCATTGCAACAAGAAATACAACCAGCTTCATATGCATGTAGCTTCACATGTGTCAATAGATAAGGGAAATTAATTCAGATGCACATTTTGACAGAGATCTCAGCACAGCAGTATGTGCTAAACAGAGTGTCAAAAATGTAGCCAGCAGTGCCTGTACATGTTCATATCTACCCTGCCACAGCCAGTGGGTCAAATCAGTTACACATGAGGAACTTCTGGTTTATGTGACCAGATTTTATTCACATTTTCAGAGGAATCCTTCATCTCTGTGAGCTGCTCAGTGTTTTCATTCTCAATTTTGGTCATTAGGCTGGGTGACATAACTGATTTAAATTGCCACTAGAACACCACTGCAGTTAAGAGAGAATTTTTTTTCCTCATATAGAATATATTCAACCTTCAAATTTATTTCTCTATTTATTTGTGTCTTGGTTATCAAACCACTTGATAGAGGATCCATACAAGAAGAACTCTATGAAAAATATATAGATATTATTTGGTCTACAATTTGCATGCCTGATAAACAGAGTATGCTCAAATAATCTCCTTTACGTCTTTTCCTTTTTGAACCTGCTTTTCTGTCATAGCCAAAGTTTGGAACTACTAGTGGGTAGATACTTGAACACTTAGTGTACAATAGACATTCAGTATACACATCTGAGAGACAAAACTGAAACTCTTTTTCTATTTTAGCTAAAGATGGGATAACAATCAGAGCTGGTATTACTGGAGGGCAAAGTGTCAGGAAAGCAATCAGCAGATAAGCAGATAAAATGGTGATGGAATGGCATCACATAACAGATGAGGCTGTGAAGTAATGATCAAACAAGGCTAGAGAAAGATGGAATGGATGTGGAGAATACTTCTGTCACTGGCTCCCTCAAGCACCCCATGGTACTTGATATGAATCTGCTGAAGAAAAACAAATGGACTGTATCATAGGAAACATGATGCCACAAAAAAAGCTTTAGGAGCGCATTTTATGATATTGCAGAATGTATTGTCTCATTTGCCAAGATTATCTTCATTAGGTGAATGTAACATTGTTTGAACTATTTCTTGGTCTCAGAAGTTTGAGACTAACATGCATTACATGACCCAGATGATTAGTACAAAAAAAAATCTTAGAAAAGACAGTCTTACAATTATTAAATAAACTAAAAATAATTTTAAAAAGCTTGAATTAGTTTGAAAATTCACAATATTTTCTTAGTGAAGTATTTAATGAAACCAGATGATTTTGTGTTAACAAGAGATTGATAAATTATTTCTGCAGATTTGTTTTTAACCGTTTCCTACAGTCTGCAGTATTTAGTTATTTTGGTGTGAATTATATTTATCTTACAGGTATGCAAGTCTAGAATAATTCTAATGATTTTTTGTTGAGTGACTGCATACAGTGAAGAGGCCTTGCCTACTCTTTTCAAAATTAAGGCAAGTGGCTGAACTGTAATAAAATATTCTGGGGTTTTTTTCTTCACAGTTTTTGAATATACAATGGTTTATAACATAAGATCCCAGGTGAAACAATTCATAGGTTTTAGAAGTCAGATCTATGGTACAATTATTTTCTTAGATCATGTATTTATTTTAGTGTTTTGGCTGGATAGATTTTCTACAGTAGTAGTCTACATATGGAGAATTGTATTGGAGCATGTTTCTTTCGTTTTTTTTTAATAAATGCACAGTATTGTGATGAAGTGAGTACTGTATAATTCACATAAGTGCTTTAAAAAGATATAAACAAAGAAATAGTGTACTGTAGTTCCTGTATAATGGAACATCTAGTGCAAAAAAAAATTGCTTCAGATTTAAGTTGCAAAAGTTAGTAATCTGCTCCATAATTTATACAGCTCAGAGTCTTCAAAAACTATGTGTGTTTAATCACTAAGACTATGTATTCATCACTCTCAAGGTAACTCAAAATTAAGTTTTTTCAAGTCAGGGATTTATAAGAAAATACTTAAAATAATATTAAAGCAATGACATTACCACTTATATCCATTAGTTTAGGATTTAAAGCAATAATCCAGAATACGAAGAGATCTGCATACTCTGTGTAATGCATGTACTCAATACCATTATGTCCCATTCTGGGAATGGGAGCTCTGTTAAGAGCTAACTTGGAATAATTAACTGTAAAGAGATATAGTATCAGGTCTAACAGAGCAGTCACATAAAATCTGGTAGAGCCTGGGTCAGATCCCGTCTTCCAGTCCAGAAACAACACCTCTGAATTTGGAATCACAGGAACATAGAACCACAAGACCTTCCAGGTTGGAAGGTGAGCCTAAAGATCATCCAGTCCAACCTTTCATGGGAAAGACAGCCTCGATGAGATTATACAGCAATCCAATTGTGTCTTGGAAACTTTCAGTGACAGGGACTCTACCAAGTTCCTGGAGAGGTTGTCCCAGTGAATGATTATTTTAACTGTAAAAAAAATTATTTCATATATTGAGATGAATCCTTGATATATCTTGAGTATTATAATCAGAAGCTGATTCTTGTTCCAAATGGTTTCTGAGATAAGAACATGGGTCAGGGGGAGGAGAGTCAGTTTCAGATAAACTAAAATAAAACCATCAAAATGATGAAGGGTCTGGAGAGCAAGCTTTATGTCAGAACCATGGGTGAATGAAGTCTGATTGAATGAGTGTGTCCTGTCAAACCTTTCTTTAGAAACAAGTTCGCTTAGGATGATGTTACATTCTCCTAAAACATTGTTTTCTAAATAGTTAACACTCTCAGTGGGTACACAAAATACCCAATTTCCAGATCTTGTTCGAAGTAATGTTTCCTGATTGAAGATATCAGTAGGAAAGATTAATGATCCCCTGGCAGGTATTACATTTTTCTGGGAGCTGGCACTGTAACTTCAAACTGTCAGAAGAGAGCATTCAAGTGGAGACTTTAATACCTTGGCTAGAGATCCTGTCCAGCATTTATTAAGTGAACAAAAAGAGGAGAGACGCTTTCTTCTTACCTGAAAAGATAGTTCATGCCCTCCTACTTTTCCACTGGAAGGTATATCTCAAGTCAAATTTTGTTCTAGGGAGGAAAGCCTATAGTATATAAGAAAAAAATATTCAATATCTGACAAACAAACTTTATGAATTTAAACTAATGTAACAGTTTGTCACATTTTTACTTGAATTATTGCTGCGAATTGCTTATTAACTGATGGTTACTTTTAGTAGCATAAATACTTTATGTATTTATTAGAACAAAATGTGACATTTCCTGCTGTTTCTTCTTCAGCAATTACACAACAGCCTTTTGAAGGAGTGACTGTAGCTTGAAAGGGTAGGGTAGGGAAGGAGCTGCCTCAGGCTTGGTGTGTTTCCTCCATACTTGGCATGTGTCTTGCAGCTGTTTGTTGAAAAGGGGCCTGAGGAAGTTAGTTGGAGTAATCTGTGAAATACAAAATAGAGGTTTATCTTAAAATAAGTAGTGTTACTACTCACTAAACCTGGTTTTCCTCAGAAAAATGCTGGAAGGCAGTAACAACTTATTTCATTGCTAAAGATGCACTTGAAGTCTATTGTAAATATAGGAGAGTACAAATCAATGTATCTGATAATCTAGAAAAGCATCTTTGACGTTTAATTTGTCATTGGTAAGAGTAGGTATTATTTATATGCAGACAGGGTAAAGTGCTCTGTAATAAATATACTGAAAATATATTCACCTTCACAGCAGTTCACAGACATAGAGAAGTAATCTGTATGGTGTACCTGGAACTGACAAGAAGGGCGTTTTAAAACATGAAAACAGTCATGGTAACCTCATCCCTGTTATTGACTCTTCACTTTGATATGTGACTTAGCCAGAAGTCTTTTTTCCAGAAAAAAAAATAGCTCCTACCATAATATTTGGGATATCAGTTTTATTCAGCATGATTAGATAGCTTTCCAGACTTATTTAGGATCATGTGCCTCTTTTTTCCATTCAAAAAGATCTGCACTAAAATTTTTTAATGAAAACTTCCTGTATTAGATATTCTTTCCCTGACTGTGTAAATCGGAGCACACGTTCCTTTATTTGGGGTAATTTTTACTTAAAAAATAATACTCATGAACAGGTGACATTATAGACTAAATAATTTGTGCTGTGCTGGATGCCACACTGTTCTCTACTGAAGGTGGACTGAGGTAAGGAATCTTCGGGAATGTTCAGATTCGGAAGGCAACTTAACAATGTTCAATTTCAGACTTTCCTGTCTCAGAAATGAAAATACTGTTGCCTTGAACAGACTGTAGGCAGGAATATCTCTCTGTTTCCAGTACTTCTCTTGTTTTGATTTTTCTACTAGAAGAATCATCCGCTCTTCCCAGCATGAAGATATCATTTTGAGGCATGTGCCAAAGCCTCAGGAGTAAGGCTGGTCTTGAGGAAAGGAATGGATTTTCATCCCTCCTTGATCGCTCATCAAGGTCAATTTGCCACCAGTCTCAAGATCTACCACCACTCTTCGCTGTTGGACACCCTTTGAAGGATAACTGGAGATATCTGTATGGTTTTTGCTCTCATCCTCTAGGCTGTGAAATACTGTTCAAAATCTCACTAGATTTTGAAATGGAAGGTCTAAGTGCTTAGCTTCTTATGATAAAAAAATTTAACTAGCAGGTCAGTATTGCTTTCAATGGGCTGTGTGCAGCAGTGCCCTTAGAAGCAAGTCCTCAGCTTCTGTTGCCTGGGAAAGAAATACTTACATATTCAAAATAACAGGTATTCAAAACTTCAAATATTTATTATTTGGTTATGTCCACAGGAGTATTTTAAATAAGCTTCTGTTCTGTCGTTTCTGAATTTTATTGTAGAGAGTCGGTGCTTTCAGTGGAAAGTAAATAAAGACTGACAGCACTTCTAGCGTTCAGAAAAAAAAAAAAAAGCAAGCTGTTCAAGGATGTGTAAAAATGCAGATTGACATAAACTGAGTCAATATTACAGAAACCATTCATGCAAGGCAAACAATAATGTCATGATAAACAATAGAGTGAATATAGGGAAATGACTGTTTTATTGATAGTGAGTCACATCATTCTTTTTTAACTGCTTGAACATTAGTGTATATTTGATTAAACATTGGAATTTTGGACATAATTTCAAAACAAAACCACTTCCTGTAGAACAAGCAAAAAATTAAAAACAGAGAGTGTCATTTAGATTGAACAGTTTGAAGTATGACCAAGATAAATTGTCTTGATCCGTAGAGTAATAGAAATTGATTTGTAGCGTGCCAGAATGTCTGATGTTTTATTCTGCTTATCAGATAAGGAGGAAAGATACCTGGATTGAAGATGAGGGTAGGAGCTCAAATCACAAAATTTATAGCTGGTTGGACCTGAAGTATTTCTCTGGGCTTTCACCTTTTGCTCTATAAGTCTCTGCAGTCAGCAAAATGACTCTGTGCTTCTTGGCACTAAATTTCACTGTCAGTTTTATTACCAAGTGTCTTCCATTGTACCCCTTGTGGTGCTGTGCTCGTTTTCAGTGTCTTAGCAGAGCCTTCCACTTTCCACTTGTCCTTATTAAGGCTAATGCACTTATTTCACAGTTACCACTAAAAGATATGGAAGGTATGGAAAGACTTTCTAACTTAAGGATCACAGAAATTCTCTGTAAAAATCACTGTGCTCTTTTACCTTTTTTTCTAAAGATTCCGAAAACAGGTTTGAATAAGCCAGTTTTAAAATGTCTCAGAAGTCTGGGTTTTGTCCTGTTCAGAGAGCTATACTTCTCAGGATTCTGCAAGTAATAAGAATTTTTTTTTCTACTTTGTATTTTACATAGTTTGTTTCCACCATAGTTTGTATTTCATACCTTCCTTAATGGTGCTTGTAGAATCCATTAACCCTTCACAATTGGTGCAGCTTGGGCTGTCAAGTAACCTTTGTAATATCAATGTATTTTGTTACTTTGTAGTTCTCTCTTATTTTCCAAATGATTTCTATGTAGAACAGCACAGGTTGTTGATATTTTAATGATATCAATATCTGATTATATTCTGCTGCAAAACCTGACTGCTTTATTCCTACTATTTTGTATCTGTTAGGTTCTCTTTCAAAGCAATTCTTCTCTTCCATCGTGTCAGTTTATCTTCCTATAAATATTTTGTAAAGTTTTCTGTCTTTACTCCACCACTAACCTCATCTTCTGTGATGAAATAATTGAAATAGTTTCTTATTGGTGGGAGTTTTTATTTCCTACTGGTAGTTTAAGTTTATCTTAAACTCCTGATGAACGTCCAGGTTATAAAACACATTGCTGTCATGGAGTTTAGGTTTTTATGGTTAATCAAGTAAGATTCCTATGTTCGAAGTTAAACTATAATTAGGTAGTAAGAATGACTGTACGTGTCCAAGGACTTTGTGTGTTCTTATCACATGAAAACTCTTTAATCACAATTGACAGTTGATGAGACATTCACAGTCTTTCACCACTGATTTTGCATGAGAAAAAGCACTACAAGGCAATCACAGATGAAACCTCTATGCCTGGTTTGAAATTCCTTCCATCTGGATCTCGTCTTATATATAATCTCAAATGTACTTCAAACAATTTAAATCCTGCCCTGTATCAGATCACATCTCTTTTTTAAAAAATTAGGGGAAATGTGGAAGGGCATGGAGAATATTTTTGTTCATAGCTTGAAGATAAGAAAACTTATGTTTTCTTATAATTGCTCTGTCCAATATCAGTGACTGGATCTATGGGAATTCAGGCTTCTATCTCTCAGAGACCAGTTTTAGCTATTATAAAAATACTGCTTATGTCATTTAGCACAAAGATGCCAGATTTATATACCATCACACATTTCAAAAGTGTAATGAGGGCAGAATTGTTTCTCTCACTGGTAAAATATTAATATTGAAAACTGAGGTTACTCAGGAAATCATAAAAAGACAGTTCTCTTGGAAAGCTATCTCAGACACATTCCACATCCCCTCTCTCTTACTGATTACATTAGTAACACATCATTCAATGCATTAAGCATTGCATTTAACAAACAGCAATGAAAATATTACTTCCTATATAGAACCGCAGAGGCAGTGGTGTAAGAAAAACATTGTCAGAAAACTTCCTGAATTTTCTGCCCTCTGCCTGTATAAAAAGTGTATAAAAAACCAAGGTGTGTTTTGTTTTTTGCATCCCCAACTAAATTCTTCTCTTGTGTTGATGAGAGAGTAAAAGAAACTAAATGCTGAAAAAATCTCAGGCTACATCAATCAGTTGTTTTTTTTTTCTGGAGGAAATGTATGTAATATGTGTGATGGAAAAGATGGTTTATCTTTTTTTCCTCCTAATGCTTCCAAACTCATATCTAGAGACCTGACATCCTGTCATCCTGCCTGACAATGCAGGAAGCTCCTAAAAAGATTTAGTAACCAGAGAGGGAGCTCCTCATGCCTGATTGCTATGGGTGGAAAAGACCTTTAAGTACATCTCAGCCTAGGACTGTGTCAGGTCCTTTTGCTAGAGTCCCTAGTTTGACATTCATTGTATTTTTGTTATTGACTGAAGTAATTTACTGCAGTTTTATGGTATACTGACTTTCCAATGGTTGTCCAGCATGCCAATTATGCACATAACAGGAATCTGTCTTTATGGGCCTTATGAAAAATAAAGGAGGAACTCAGGCACATACACTCTTCATGTTTAGATTAGGTAGAGGAAGTCATGGGATCGACACATAAATATCAAACCTGCTCTGAGTGGCCCAAACCATATTTTCAGTGCTGCACTGAGAATTCCTGCTGAAAACATGTTTTCCTTTATTCCCTACCTCAACCACAAACCCCATATTTATGTCTGTGTAGTCTAAGTACTATGAAAAGACAAAACTGCAGGAGAAACACCTGTGTATAAAAAGCATATAATTCTTAGCTGTGAAAGGTAGCAGGTGCAATTGTGTGTTTGTGTGTAGGGTTCTGGAGTGACTGGTTCCCACTGTCCCAAGCAAAAAGCTATCCTAGGACTGACAGATGTGACATAATCTGCACTGTGTTTTTTCTTCCTCATTTTATTTTGCAGTAACTTTAATAGTAGTATATTTTTTGTATACATCTATGCTTCAGACAGCTTTGCTACCAATGTAAATGCCATTTTTTTTTTCCATTAAGGTCATTATACCGCAGAGTTTCTTAAGGTATGGAGTTGTATTAAGTATGTAGGAATACCTTCATCGGATATTACATTGCATGAAAGTATACGAGAATGTCTCTGATTTCATGAAGTTTCTGGTTATTGGGCCAAATAATGATTATGCAATTTGTGTTTTGACAAGAATCACTGTCAGAGAAAAAAAATGAGGTAAGAGTACTTACTTGCCAGCAGATAAAGGCAGAATAAAATCAGCCTGTCAGATTTCATAGTTACCTCACACGAATTTCTTAATTTTTCCCTGTACTTCACCCAGCCTAAGTGAACCCTTGTATTCTCCCCCGATCACCAGCCTCTCCCACTGCTTGCACCCATACTGGACCAGAAGTAACAGTAGAGGACCAACTTCCCTCATTTCCTTCCAGTAACACTTCAAACACTATCATGTTCCTGCATGTTTATATTCATGAACTGCAGTTCAATGATTTTCAAAATGGTATTTTTAGTTATTCCAAAATCAATAAACCCTCTAAGCTATTATAGAAGAAAAGAGTTGCTTGAATATTTGCTGGGCAAGGATGGTAACAGCTATTCATACTACTTTTCAGCAGTTTAGGAGCACCAAAATATGAAGTTTATTAGAAATATGTGGAGTTTTTATCCTCCAGGTAGAAGATGCATTTTATAGTCCTTGTTTGAAACTTTACCTGCTGTTATCCTTTTACTATCTTGTTGTGATGACAGATATTTCTAGTAACCATTTCAATTCAAGTATTATAATGCTAAAGCTTCAGCTAATAACTCTTAAGGGTAACAGAATCCCCCTCGTAGGTTGAAACATGGCCAGGCTTCACGAACGAAGATTTGGGGCCAAACAAGGATCTGTCTAAACCAATACTACATTTCACTAAAATGCATTTAGGCATTTTTTGATATTCTGCCCAGCCTGCAGAATAACACAGCTCAAGAATAGGTGTTGTCTTGTGTATTTTTCTTCATATGAAAGGAACTAGCAAAATATGAAATTAATGTTTAAAGGTAATTGTTTTTATGAAGCTTTACTTTTTTCTAATATTTACTCTAGAAAGAAATATGTGAAAAATCATTCCTACCTATCAAAATCAAAATTGTTAAAACCTAGACTTTGTGCAGATCTTAAAGTTGTAAGCCATCTAAGCAGTTTTTTTTCTAAATATATGAGTGATTACTCTTGTCTTTCTGCGTTATTAGGATATTGTTGAAACATGATGAAATTACTGATTTTATTCTCTCTATATTGCTACATATGAAGTTTTATAATGGCTATGTTATGTTCTAACAAAGATCATTTTTCCCTTTTTAAAAGTGGATTAGGAGAAAATAATTCTAATTTTTGTTTAGCTCTGTTACCTGCAACTAATATGAAATAACTTTAATCCATCTCTGTTTCAGGCATTAATTTTGTGACCAGTGATTCACAACAAGCTTTGTTCTCTTGAAAATTGCATTAAAAACTGTGATTATGATCTCACAAAAAAATCAAAAAATGACTAATGCTTGAGTTATTTCTAAGAGGAAAAACCCAAGTTTGTGTTTCTAAAGAAAAAGTGAGTTGGGAAAATAGGAATAGAAGAGAATGGTAAAATGAAACTCCTGGGCTTCACAAATCTGTTTCTGTGTGTCACTACTTTATTTGAAGTATATCAGGGAGAAGACCTTTGGCAAGTAACTTGTCCTCACACTTCTTTATGAGAAGAAATATTGATACTGAACTAAATACTGAACTAAATGCCTATGATTATTATCTGTAACAGTCTCTTTCCAGTAAATTTAGATATCTACCAAAAATATTGTATGAAATAAAAGTAAATGTCCAAAAGTTAAATATGCTTCATTATCATAAGAGCAACTTATAAAGTAAACATAAAAGTTATATACTATCAAACTGCAATGCCCACAAATATTACATCCATATTTGTGGGAAAAGAGAGTATTTTCTGTTCACTGACTGAGAAAGGAGATATTTACAAAGACTTTTAATTTGTTGCTTTTCCATCTGCAGAGTGATTGTAGTGTGGAAATGGATTTTCTGTTATATTGAACATAAAGAAATAGTTCAGAGGGGTTTTTCGATTAAGAATAAATTGCTTTTGTTGTTTATTAATTTAGAAATGTTTATAAACTAATGGCCTTATTAGACTCAGAAAAAACTCATTGTGTTGACAAAATATTTAAATGACTTAAGACAAACTTGCAATTTTGTCACCACTGCAAATAACAGAAATGTACTAAAATAATTTCCATTCTTTATATCAGAAATATCAGTTAATATAGTCAGATATGCTGTAATTAACTGCCAGTGAACATGAATAGTCTTTTAATATAGGCAGATGTAAAACGACTATTCCAAATAACACATTCCTTTTTATTTTTCTAAGCTGGAGGTAATTGGTTCATTTTTTGGTTGTTGCATGCATTCTTAAAAGTCCAGAGGAAAACAAAACTACTCATATCTGCTGATATGTCCCCTTTTTTATATGCTTATTTTTATATTTTAGACATTGAAAAAAATTTAAGTCATCTCATGTTTTCCTCCTGAATATGTATAATTCTTGCACGTATTACATTTCACTTCTCCCAAAAGATTTTGTAAAACATAAAAATAAAGACAAAAAAAAAGTACCAAAAAAAACAACCAACCAAAGTTCAAGTTTTGGGAAGAAGGGACTGGAAAAATTGTAAACATCCTTCTAATCTAATTCTTTATAGAAGTATCCAATAATGAATATATTTGAAAAAAAAAAAAAACCAAAACAAAAAAAGGATTGGTTTCACCATAGACTTATGTTGTGGCATATATACAGAGAGAGATATAGATATATCTCAGTATATAATATCTATCGGATAGTCAAGAAAGTCAAGAAAGACCTTAGCAAACCATGTCTTAGTAACTGGATTTATATAAAAATAGAAGAAAATGTTCCTCTGTTTTGGGATTTTTTTGACTTTGTGCAATTCTTTTTCACTCCCATTTTCAGTGGTTAGTTAATTTTTATAAAAGTTTTAAAACTCAACAAATTGCCATTTTTTAAAATAATCATGAATGCTACCCACTACTATATCAAAGCACTGCAGTTGCATTAATAGATAGCAAAAATAGAAAGCAAAAACCACGTGTCAAGAATAACATTCCTAAGTATTCAGAAGGAATAATTCTACGAAGTATGACATTCTCTGAAAAATCTAACGTTATTGTCCTTTGGTTATCTCATACAGCTCAGTCTGATGCAAGACCCCTGAATTAGGACCAGGTTTGGAACTAAAGAGACCTTGTGTCATTATGACACACACGGCCTCTCAACTCATCGCTGAGCGCATCAATATTGACTTCAGCACCTGCACACTTCTTATTTGTACTGTGTAGTCCTACCAGATCACCTCTATTGTATTTGGTCATGTCACTGGGATCTGACAGCCTCCTAATCTCTGGGGAAACTGCCCACTCCTAGTTATTCAATTATATTAACTCAAGAATAAAATTATAAGTAACTAATTCACAAATATAAGATAAATTTTCATAGCTGTATACTGGATCAGAAGAAATTTAAGGGAAGGACAAGAAAAGCCTTATGGTCCCACAGTGTAATTGCTCATTAGTACCCAGCAGCAAAACAGTAAGTCCCAAAGAAGTATCTCCATTCCTCAGTTAGGTATAACCAGACTTATTTTTGCATGACCATTTTCCTCCTGTTCATTGCCACTGGTAAATTTGTTTCTTTTTTTTGTGTGTGTGTGAGAAATAACTTGGTTACCTAGTCTATATTTTGCTCTGGCCTGGTTGGATCTAGGTGGAGTTCAGGGACAGGCAAGGGAGAAAAGTTTCAGGGATTCAAAAATGTGTTTGTTCTGTTATGGTTGTATAAAGGGGCATCAACATGTCATCATAATGAAAGTTCTGTGGCACTTTTCTGTTGCACTTAAAATGCAGCTAAACTAAAATATGTTCTGTAGATAAACAAAAACAGTTTCATGATATATCTAATAATTAATAGACTTAGTTATAAAGCCTAATACATAAAGGAGCAGTATATGGATAAAGAAGCAGAGAGGTTGAACAATAGCAGAATTGCTTTTTTTCGTTTCGCTACAAGGACTTCACAAGGCTGATGCAGTTTGCTGCACTTTAGCAGAGCTGAAGCCCTTCAAACACAGACCTTGTTATGTGCTTCCCTGATCCCATTCTGCTACCTGCCTTACCTGAGGGGAAGGTTTTCTCCTACCTTCTCAAAGGGCTCCTATTGCTCCTAAAACTTCATACCTCTAAGCTGTTTATGTGAAGAGGCTTCTAATAGGCAGCCTGTTACTAAGTAATGCCACAGGTACAATGGAGCAGCAACTGTTTCTGCTTCTTTAAATTTAACAAAACTTTTGAGATTGATTGCACTTTGATATTGTTGACTGTGTTCTTCTTCTAGCCTGTTTTATTTAGTAGACTTTTAATAAAAATAATTATAGACATTATTCAGCTTAGTAATGTAATCTGTCATGCAGCTTTGCATTGATTGCAAAAGTATACAGTTTAGCCAGCTGTATAATCAAGATCTAGCATCAAGTGAAATGTGTACCAAAGATATAGATCAAAAACAGATGTGAGGAGGAAAACAATGAGGTAATAGCAAGGTAAAGTCACACTCTATTTTGTGAAAATAGAAATTTTGTCTATGTAAGAAACTGAAAGAATGGAGCTAGAAGAACTGTAGAGTAAAATGGTTGGGAACACAGGCAGGGAGGTAAGAAAGGAGAAACTAAGTGTCTAGGCATAGAAACCAAGGGGTGCAATAGACAAGAATAAAAGAAAAACAACACTATTCTATTTAATTACAGAGTTATGCTTAAAACAATGATTAATCTCTCATGACCTTGCAAATAGACTAGAGAGCCCTATGTTAATTTAATACTGCACACAGCCACTCCCTTTCTTTCCTTATGCTCACATGCAGCCAAAGTGGGGTAGATGCAGCAGTGAGGGGCAGGCTCAAATTCTCTGATTGTTCATGGTGAACAGTGTACAAAAGGACAACAGCAGTTGTGACACACAAAAGAGGTAACCTAGACATAGAACAATGCAGTTGTGACACACAAAAGAGGTAACCTAGACACAGAACAATGCATTATCTTCCTTTAGGCAACTTTCAGGTGTCTATGTTACATTTGAAGTTCACCAATCAACTCAGTTTAGGACTTTACTGTGTAGTGTCTGTTCTGCGAATTGCAGCTCTTAGGTCCTACAGATGCCTATGCAGTCACTAACGTACAGGAAGGAATCTTTTATATTTTCCTAGTCATTGTATTCCAGTAAAAGAAAGTGATCTGTGTTCACTGTAAGAGCAAAGCAGATACAACTGTTATAATTTCTACATTATTCCTTCCCTTTCAGTCTTTTAATTGTTCATACGGTAGTTGGGGAGAGGGAAGGAAATGCAGTAGTTCTCTGTTGTTCTGTGATTTCTGCTCCATGGCACCAAATCAATTGTCTTCTAATCAGACAACTGTTATATATTTTATTACAATACTATGATGGTATAGTGCTTTCTGGGGTGGAATCAAGACCACAGTTTCTTCTCCTTAAAGATATTAGTCAGCTTTGAGGAAGAAGCAGAGAAAAACATAATTATCTTGTTAAAATTCTGCAACAGGAATTAAAAGACAAATGACTATCAGAGTATTAATAAGCTCTGAGTTACTCTATCTGTAGGTTACATGTACTGTAACTAATCCCAGCATGGTGTTTGTAATTTCAGGATAAAAACATAACTCACCCTTGGGTTTGTCTGTTTTCAAACTGTTTCATTTTTACTATTAAATACAGTGTGTGCACTTTAGGTAGACAATTAATTTTTAAAAAACTTTATCTTGGAGTAAAAAAATGTATTCTGTACTTCTTCTGCCTGCAATATTTCTTCTGAAAATGCCATTGCAATTTAAAATATTTTTAAAATAATTATAATTCTTGGTTGTGGAGCTTGTAAAACAAATGAGATTCCTAGACTAAACTTTTCAGTAGTGCTTGATAAATTTGATTTTAAATGTGGTTCATTTATAAATCTCTGTTCAGTTTGAATTGTTTATTATGATGAGATGAACATTTTTATTCATATACCGAAGAAATAAAAGCTGGGTTAATATGCCAATTACTAATATTTACAGAAAATATTGAAAATATGCTGATAACGTAGAATTTTAACATGACTGTTAAAACATATGTCTGGGAAATAAGAGAAAGGTCTGTTGAACTAAGAAATTAAGTTATTGTAATAATAAGAATCTGACAAATGCAAAGAAACTGTACCTAAACTATTTACCTCCATCTCATTGAACAGTTCTTCCGAGTGTCAGTACAACGCAAATTGCAGCATGCAGTCATTTTCAGTCTGGCGGTTTTACAACAATTAGCAAGCATTGGTTTGTCTGCAATGTTGTTATATTTATTGAAACTCAGTTCCAGCTGGGGTCTGAGTGGGCAGTTTCTCCCACTCAGGTGAGGTGTTGGGGTTTTTTGTTGGTAGTCCTTAATAAATTCCAACAGAAAGAACATAAACATTGGTCTCTAGCATAATTTTGAACTAGCCTGATTAATACAAGATTGATGTTCTTATAATAATTTCCACACTGGAGATATTAATTTTTTATTTAAGCATTTATTTCAAACTCCTACTATCACCTGGGGAAGAGGGAGAGTGAATATAACCAGATTTTCTAGTCTTTTATTTGTTTCTAAATCTTCCATTAGACAAATTTTCTTTAATAAATACCAGATCTTATTGCTCAAGAAAATTTGGATGAAAATCTAACATATTTTAAAACTCTAAATTGATAAAGAATTATGAATATGACCTCATTTTGCTTTTTCCTGATAATATTAGTAATTAAACTTTTCCTATAATTACTCTTCTTCACCATTAAGCGTGAAACAGAATTCCCTGTGAATCCTTACAAACTTTAGAACTTGTTTTTGATCAGAAATTACTAACAAAAGTTTATTCAGAAAATTAAATTTATTGTTCCAAACAAAGAAGCAAGCAAACTGATTTAATATCAAATAACTCTTATCATCCTGATTATTTTTTTTTTAGAAAATAAAAGGTGCATAACTTTCAACAAAAAATATAACTGGGGGAATATGCAACTCTCAGTGCACAATTCATTAAAAGGAAAAAAGAAGAATTTAGAACAATTTGTTTATTGCAATAAAGGTGTGTGGTGAAAGACAATGTAAGCTGAATTATTGATAGTAATATGACTGAATTCCTCTTTATGTGGTTTATATTTACATCTTAGCCTGCTTTGACCTTGGCTTGCATATATCACAGTTGAATTTAATTGATATGTGTCAATAAGTTTATTAAATATAAGATCAATTACTGTCTTATATTTTAAAATTTTCATGTAACTGTCAGCATCATTTGTAAGTGATTTATTATTCCTCCTTTCCCCTCAAAGTAATGTAGGGTTAATAATCAGTAAGTTAAGGTTAATATCTGTGAGTCTTATAATGTACGATTAATGATATGAAGTTGATATTTTGAACAATGTCCTCTCAGATCATGAGAGAAGCAGATACTTGTGAATTCAAGATCCTTGCTATTTATTAGAACAGACTGTGACATTACAAGATGGGTGCCTACTAAATGTGTTTCAGGGAGGAGAATAATCTCTGCTCAGTCCACAGGGGCAAATACCAAAGAGTCATCAGAACAGGTGCTGGGGAAACATTACTCACCTAGGAGGAGTTCTTCAACTAAATCCCAGTCAAATTCCTGAACAACTTCCTCAAGATATCATTCTCTGGTGGACAAAATTATTAGGACAGTAATAAAAAGCGATCACACAGCTAGAAAACCACGTCAATGGTTATTAAGTTCTATTCTAAAAAAATACAGGGTAAAAACAGGCACCTATTCATCACAAAGTGCTGGATGAAAATGTTAGTTCATGAAGACGTTCTTTTTCTTACGGAGTCACACACAGAACCCAAAACCTTGCTGAATTGAAAAGAAAGCCCAAGCCACGTTACAATTATATAAGAAAAGATTCAGGACAACAGCTCAAGATTTGAAGGACTGGGAACAAGTGATCATGCTTTTATGTCAAGCTGAATAGTACCATCACAAAAGAAAAACTTCAATAGGAATTTGCAAAGAGAAAGAACATAACAAAAACTAAAAGCAAAAGTACAATGACAAGTTGACCAGAGGAACAAATTTACAGAAAAGGAAGATAATGAAACAGAAATGACAACTGGAGAAGAATGGGCAGTGAAAAACTCATTTTCTGTCCTCTTGAAAAGATGAGAGTTCCAGTTTGTGAACTATTCTGTTGTACACTAGTAAAAATAAATAGTGCTGTTTAGTCATGAAAAGTGGAATTGAACCTGTTACTTCCCTTCAAACTTTATCAAGAAAAATAAATACTGTGAGGAAAAATTTTATTTAGAGTATACAAAAACTGGGAAAATAGCAGCTTGAGCTATATAATGAAAATAATTCTTTAAAAAATGAGCTACCTATCTCCCTTAATCACAATGTACAAATTTGGTTAAAATTCATCTCTATGGGTAGCTCAGTGTTTCCTTTTTGAGGTCTATGAAATATACTGAGGAATGTGTGACAATCCAGTAACATACTCTAAAAGAATATACGAGGATTAAACTAAAGTTATAGAGGAAGACACATGATTTTTGGTAGCAATTTACCTCTTGGTAGTCCAGAAATTCAAGCGTTCCTGTTAAAAAAAAAAGTACAGCATACTTTCACGTATTGTACTTTGTGAGTTACCTAATAGGGAAAGAGTTATCATAACTAGTTTTTCCCTGACATTATCCACTGGATTGACTTTTTTCAAACAGATCCTGATATTAGTTGGATATAAGATAGTAAGATCTTGATATAAGCAAGAAATCCCAATATTAGCTAAAATAAGAAAAGGCACTATTAAACATCATGACTAGTTTTGAGAAATTTTAATGCTCCCACATTAAATTCAGAATTTAAAAAGGTAAGTCATTACACAATTTTATGTTTTTAGGCTGTGCAATACTACCTTTTAGGTTTTGGAGTTGTTTCATTCCCAAACAGCATGTAGACCCAGACAAAAAAGTAAATATAAGTAATTGAACATATTGACAGCTATAAAATGGTAATTATATCTCACTAGAGCATGGTTGTTTGGTAGCTGCAGAACACAAAACATAAACCTGATAGTCAAAGAAACACTTTTGCTGTTTGGTGTTCTTGCCTGCCTTTCATGTTGTTCCATTTTCTGTCCTGTTGCTTGAGCATAATTTCTTATCAATTTCCATAAACAAATAGGGTTTTAAAAGCCACTTCAAAGTTATCTAATAATTTAATTTGTAATTGCAAGGTCTTTGCTTCAGTGGATTTATTGCATCAATCAACACTGAAGCAATTACTTAATTTGCAGTTATACATTAGATTACATAATATTTACAAAATTAACATGCATAAACAAAAAATTATAACTTCATGAGAAACACTGTAATTCTGACAATGATAAGGAGTGCAAATATTTCCTCTTGAAAAATGCCAAGTACATGGCAGTAAAATGCTTATAGGCCTGGAGGTGCAATGGTTGTCTGAATCTAACTTATTTACCATCAGTGTGATCAATACTTAAACTGAATTAAATTACATAACACTGTGTTAATGAATGACCTTTACCCTGTCTGTCTTGTCATCCAGCAGTTAATGATAAGTTGAAATACATACTCTGAATAAAAAGAAATTAAATTGAATAGTAAGAGCTATAGGCTCTTACTCCAAGCTTGCCTGATAGTTATGGACTTCATAGCTAAGGGCTATGAAGCATGCTTCAAATTGGTCTTCACTCTGCTGGTGCAGAGTGGTTTTTGAGTTTACTGCAGAGGATTTCATTACCCAGCAAATGATTCACCTTAAGGGTGAATATTCAGAACAGCTTCATTTCTGTTTTTCTATACCTGCAATTTAGATAGAAGGTGTTAATTAGAAATACAGTTTTACTTTACTGTAATCATATCCAGCTTTTTTTCATTACTTCTATTAGTTACAAAACATAGACTGTTGCTCAGGGCCATTGCAGACAGCAGAAAAAGTTGTATCATTTCTTGTCTGAAGAGTATGTAGTCTTTTTATCTACCCAGTTGATGTCTTTCTGGTAACAGGAGATAAGTACTGGAAACTTTTGAATTGTTGAGAATTTAGTCAGAAAATTATATTTGGTCAATATATAATTTTCACAAAAATCAAACCATAATTAAGTAGCAGTAACATTATGGCATTCCATTTATGAAAAATCACTGAAAATAATCTTCAATTATAAATTCATTTACTTACATGAGTTCTGTAGAAGTTTTCTCAGTTTGTCTAAGAGGAATTACAATATAAGATAAAGGCCAGAACATAAGATTGGACTTGTGGAGTCTGGAACTGAATTTGTAGTTTGCTAGAAGCAAGTCACATATAGCAAGAAAGATCAGTGCTCTTTTAAAAATTGTTTTCTATTATTCAGGATAAGGATACAGATTTTCTACTGGCTTTGACAGAATGAATAACATCCACTGTAGACAGACACAGCAAGATGTATTTTGGCTGATATTATTTTACCAAAGTGTGAAGTGTCCTCCTTTAAAGCAAATCAAAACTCTGAAGTAAAATGAGACTCCCACTTCAGCAGTGACTGAAATGTTCTGTACTAACAGTGGAATCATCATCATAATAAAAAGCATAGTTCATTTTGTCTTGCAGAATTGACTTTCTCAACTATCTTTTTGTGTCTTTTACCTTGGAAAATCAGGTCTTTTTTACACACACTGACTTATTTTTCCTTTTGCTCTAAAATGTATTTTTGAAAGACAACCCAAAATTTGTTCTGAATGCAAACAAATGTCAGATGTCTAAACTATCCCAGTTTTATGTAATGTCTTCCACAAACTTATGTAGCATTCATCAAGAACATGCTTTAAGTTCACAAGGAATTGATCTTCTAAATAATCTTTTGAATTAAACTGAAATCCTCGTTTTATATAATGGGAAAATAGGTCCAAATAGTCACATTACTTGTATGGCTGCCAATCAGTGCAAAGAAATGGCATCTTCTGATTCTCTGCTTTACTATCGTAATTTTACCATCCTTCCATTTTAGAATAACTATAAAAATACCTCATACATTTCTTGTAGTGGTTTGAACCTTGTTTTCCCCCAGAGGCTGAAAAGTGGTAACCCCCAGGGGTGGAAACCCCTGGAAGTTTTGGAGTTCTGTCCAATGAGCGCTCCTGCAGAAATGTAAACATATCACAAGCACCGGAAGAGAAGAGTTGTAGTTTGGTGGTGGAAGAGTAGCCATGTTGTGGTAGAGCCATGAGGAAAGGGGCCCGGAGCCCCTCGGGGCCTCTGGCCCCCCCAGCCCCAGCTGGGAGCTACAGAGACAGAGCAGAAGCGGCGGCAGGGTCCAGAGACTCTGGATAAGAACCAGGACAGATAAGAACTGAACCGGAGGAAGCAGCAGAAGGTAACAGCAGAACTTCGGAGTTCTGGGAGTAGGAACTGTACCAAACCCCCAAACTCCTTGAGACCTCCTGGAAGGAGGAAGATGATGGACTCTTGCTTGAAAGAGCCTTGGAGTGCTACAGCACTTGCAGAGAGGAGCTGAGAAGCTCAAAGGCGTCCTGGGAAGCTGGACCGGGACGGAGAAGGAATGCGGGGGGGGTTGACCTTGGCCCCCCTCGCTGCTGCTGCTAAGCTAGCAGCCTTGAGACAGAGCACAGAGCTCTGCAAAAGGGAATTTGAATCCCCTGAGGAAAGGGACTGCCACGAAGACCCCTGAGCTTCGTGGTATGACGTGGTGACGCGAGCTTGTCCCTGCTACGCAGTCCACGGAAGAGAAAGACCCTCGTTTTGGAGACGACGGGCCGAGGGGCCTGGAGACCCCCTTGTGTGTATTGAACAGAGATCCAGCTACAACAATCCAGTTACTGCTGCATGCATGAGATGAGGAGAACCTGCTGCCTTAGAAGAAGCTGCTGCCCTGAGAGACTGGAAAGGATCTGTCCTTCTTTCCCTCCTGGACTTTTATTTGGAGGGGAGAGGAGATCTGATCCATTGTAAATACTATATGTCATGGTAGAGATAGTTGTGATTTTGTGTATAATGTGTTATAGTATTTATTTGTACAGTCATTGTAATATATTCCCTTTCCCCCATTCTGAGTCTGGTTGTGTTTTGTCTGGAAAAACCCCATCTCACATTAGGTTGAGATGTGGGAGGGGGGATGGAGCTAGGGAATTGGATTTTGGGGCTGTGTCAAACCATGACAATTTCTGTTGCACATTTTTCAAAGTCAAATTTCCAGCATTTTATGATAGCATCATACTTAGGGAAAAGGATGGATAATGTTTCCTTTTTTCCAATCCTTTGCTGCTGAAAGGCGATTGTCATTAATGAAGAGGTCTGCAAACATGAAAAAATTTCTTTGATGGACAAAATGACTCATAGACTTCAATGATTATTTCATTAAGAATTTGTATAATCCCACATATGTTGGAATTAACATAATGATATAATTAATATAATGATTAACATATGATATGACCCAAATTTATTGGTTTTAATAGACAAAAGGCTGCAAAACTCTTCAGAGAAAAAAAGTTTGATCACAAGACCAATGAGGAGATTACACAGCCAGAAACTCTTTCTTGAAATTTGGCCAAAATTTCCTTTCTTAAAACTGGCTGGATGGAATATTCATAGTATCCAGATCAAGGTCTTGCTAATCAAATAATCATTATTTTAAGATTTAATCTGAGTATAAGGTAATGTTCAGAATCATGAGTGGCTTGGACTCTTCTATTAGGTAAATCTAATGACGTTAAGTTGCGCTTTAAGAAGGAAAGATAGTAACTAACTTGATCACATGGACAGGATAAGACAGTGAGTCCAAGGATATGTTTCTTAAGTAAAATTATTTTAGGAAAATTATGACCTTAATTCAGATTTAAAAAGAGGGAATTTTAATTCAATAAATACATTTAATTTTATGTTAAATTTGCATTTCTTTTTGAGGGAGATCACCAATTCATTATGTACATATTTGATATATGCAAATTATATGCCTGACACAATATATAATGTAGCCCTGAGACTGCTTTTCCTCTGTTAAATTGGTTTATATTTCTTCAGCAGGGCTCAAAATTATTAGAAGGAGACAAGTGTAAGAAACACAAGAAAATGAAATTTATTAACCTAGATAGAAAAAATATAAGAACAAGGATTACAACACATAAAAATTCTGAGTAATTTTAGGAAATATGTGGGGTAATAATTACTTTTTTCCTCGTATTTATTGATGAGATGAAATATGGTTTCTTTCTTTTAAGCAAGATAATCATGGCTGGGCTTCGCGAACGAAGATTTGGGAAGGGCTCTACCCACATTTGTTGCAAGTGCGTTGGTGGCTGAAAAGGCCAATACGAGATAGGCATGTCAGATTGCAAAAGGCACAGCAAAAAGACTCCTTAGGTGATATATTCTACAAGGTTCGATTCTTTCTGTGTTGTAAGCAAGATAAGGAATAACCCAGATTTGACATATTTACTAGTTCTCCAAAAGCTCTAGCTTTTTAACCTCTTCAGAGGTCAATCAGGACAGCCAAATCATTAGTGTGTTCTTGTTAACAAATGTTACTGTCTCTTCTATGGCATTTCACTCAGCCTTTAATTAGCTAAAACATGTAACTGAGCTCCAACAATTATCGCCACATTAATCTGAGTTAATTTCTAAGCAGAAATAGCTGTCTGGAGCCCTGTATCAGATTATATGTTGTAGCATTATCTGTAATACATTTTCTCATGAAGTAGCAGTGAGCCAGGCTGACTAATAAAAAGGAAAAAAAATATAGCTCTTGCTGTCATTTGGACAATAATTATATTATTCCTATCAGAGTCTCAGTATTTGTTTTCTTCCTTAAAATTAATTACTTTATCATTCTATAGTTACGAAAATGTTTAAGGAGGATTCAATACAGCTTAAGAAACTGAAAATAGTAGTCAGTGGTCAGTTTTAGACACACAGCAATCACAACAAAGAAGAGGAGTACATTTTTGTGCCCCCTGAAATGTAAATTTAAGTTTGTATTGGATTTGCATGTCAATTCCATGGTGGTTGGGGGATTACAGGGATGGTTTCTGTAAAAATCTGCCAGAAGCTTCACCTGTGTACAACAGAGCCAATACCAACCGGCTCCAAGACAGACCCACCACTGTCCAAGGCCAAGCCCAACAACAGTGGTAGCACCTCTGGGATAAGGTATTCATGAAGTGGAAAAAAAACACCAAACACCACAGGTGCAGATTGAGACAGAAAGAGAATATGTAAGAGAAAGAGCCTTGCAGGCACCAAGGTCAGTGAAGGAGAAGGAGGAGGAGGAAGTGTTCCAGGCACCAGAGCAGAGATTACCTGGCAACTTGTGGTACAGACCATGGTGAAGCAGCTAAGACAATCGCCCATTACACACTGTGATGCTGGAACTGCCAATAAATGCAGTCATCTACCATTGTTCATTTAATGTGTCCTTTAAGAGCTTCAGAGTTGACTTAAAACCTTTATACCAGACAAGTGCAGCAAGCAAATCAGTAATTGTCAGGGAAGGATTAATTGAAAAATTCTCCTCTGTCAATTGTCCAACTGTTAAGTGAAGGATTATCACTTCTTACATGGTGCTCACTCTCAGAGCTCAGATGTGCTATATGGATCAAGCTGACAACTTTCTGTAAGTTGTGAGCATCACCAGTTGAATCATTTTGCTTCTTTTGTTCTGTCCTGTTTGTAT